TATTATCACAGAGCTTATGTTCTTTTTATAGGAAACAGCCTGCTGTAGGTTCCCCATTTCTGTTATATTCTGTGTATGCTTTATTAGATTCATAATGAAAACTTGACTAATAGTATATTGGATACTAAGGGCGTAATCGTTCATCTCATTCTTCATCATTACATTCTTGAAACTGGTACGAAACTTTTCAAAAACAAATTGGTTAACTCTTGCCTTGACTTGAGGAGAAAGTGCTATCGGGCAGCGTCTGGCCATGAGCGTGAGGGTGCGGATGATTCGGCGGGACAGCGGTCGCTGCATGCGGATGAGGCGCGGCTGGAGGATGAAGAACGTACGAGGCCGTGGGATAAGCGACAGAGCTGACGTAGCCGCCGGAAGTAGTTGAGGACAACTGTTTCCTGAGCCTGGCTCGCCGGTTACTGAACCAGACTTGAATCCTGGCCTCGGTCAACTTGGTCCTTTGCGCCAACTCTTCTCTCGTGTAAATGTCCGGGTACTGCGTCCTTTCGAACGCTCGTTCCAGCTCATCTAATTGATGAGCGGTGAAAGTTGTTCTGCTTCTACGCTGCTTCCGTTTCAGAGGGATTCCTGGCTCGCTGTCGCAATCGGATCCGGAACTGGTTTTGCCTGGAAACAAAACGAACGTCATATGTTAATAGAAATTTAGTAGTATTTAGAATTATTTTCTAAACCAATAAATACTCTGAAATTTTATACAAAAAAAAACATTTTACATCTAACGATGTTTAGGATGCACATACTTCATTATAAAGAAATTTATATTTATAAATTCCATACCACATAATAAAACTAATAAAACCAATAATAACCAGCTTCCACGATACTCCTTAAGGACATCTATCTAAAAAACAACATTTATTTAAAATATACCCAATCTTTTTAAACATGCATATTAAATAATTCCATTGAAGAATTTATGTAATAAATTCGAGTAAATAAGGTACGAAGAAATGGCATTATCTTTATGACGAAGTCGGTAGGAAAGTGGGCGAAAAAAGATTACAGAGTAGAAAATAAGGCGGAGAGGGAAATGACTGGGTCACACGTTTAATAAATATTAATTCCCCATGCACGTGTCACCTGCTCGGCCACGTCTCTCCGTCCAGGTGAATGCACGTCCTGGTTTATGGTTTGTTTTGCCGTAGCGAGAGTTCAAAAGGAACCGCTTCGCGCTCGTACTACGCCCGCTTGTTTCACACTCGATTTCACGATCGACTCGTTTGCCGTCGCGTTACCTTTATTTCCCCTACGTCCTTTCTCATCTCGCGACGCATAAGAATTTAATAAACTAGTCCCCGGCAAATAACACGCTCCTTATTTGAATACGTAACACGAGTTCAATACCGTAATTTATGAAACAATGCTACGGAGTAATCGAAATTACTTGTACATAATAGGAAGTAATATGGAATTTAAATAAATTGCGAATAATGGCGAAGGCATTTGAAACCGCACTAAAGGCACATTACGTAGGGAATTCAGAATGTGAGCGTATTAACATTCTGGAAGAAAATTAGGTGATAGTGTAAGTGTATAATGTAAGTTTTTGGTCCCTAATCGAAAGTGTACGCGAGAAATTCGGTTTCACATTCATCGGGGAATGAAAACGTTTAATGAAAAACACTGAAAATTATGTTTTAGAGAAAAAAAAAGGACGTAGTTGAATGCGTTGAAGCAGTTCCGATTGAAGGATTGAAGCGGCGACGCGAGGCGAGTGCAAATAGTATGATTTACTCCAAGGACAGCCGCAAGAAAAGTGACAAGTGATGACTGATGACTGATGACAGCATATATGTGTATAATAAAAACAAGTTCCAAGATCCTTTCCCTTCGAACCTCGAACGTGCATTGATAACAAGGATGCGAGCGTCGAGTTAACCTTCGCTATTTCTACGCTTCATCGTTTGAAGACCTCTTAACTTTTTACCACCCAATGGCGATAGATTCTCACTATCGCAACTCTTAATATATTATTATTTTTACAAATAATTCTATTACAAATAATTACAAATAATTTTTATAAATAAGATTCTTGGTGGGACGTTACTTAAAAAATTTCAATGATTGTCTATTGTAGTAGCAAAAGGAACTTACAATATCAATCTTGTTAGAACTGCTTTCAGCAAGAATTTCGGTACTGAGCGAAGAATAACTCTGACTATTTTGTCTGCAGCCTCTGCACGCGGTTCACCAGGTCGCATTCTTGAGTACGATATAGGAGTCGGTTTGCATTTTTAGATAATCGTAGATTCATCATCGTGAGACGGGACGACACGTTCACAAGTAAAAAGAGTGGCTCGGTTTCTTCCGGTGGCGCGTCCTGAAATTGTCGACTGGCTTTACACAGGCCGCGACTAATCGGCCGACGACGCTTGACGCCGCGGTGCGCCGCGCCGCGCCGAGACGCCCAGCGTTCATGCCCATTCGACACGGACTCTATTCCGGGACGAACGGACCCGCTTCTTCCCCTTTCCCATTGCAACTCAATTTTCGCCGCTCCTCTCTCCCTGTTATTTCTTCCTCGTATCTGTTGTTGGCTTTGGAGTAGATACGTTATCCTAGAGGAGAATCAGCTCAGTTACATGTTTTTCTAAATTATTATATAATGAATGATAATAATCGAACCGATTGCGATTTAATTAATTAAAATTGTTTAAAGCTGGTTTCTGCACTGACTTATTTTACATTTATATACTTGTAGGACAGACATGCCAAACTTGTTAACCGTCGAGGACTACAAATTAAACAAAAAAAGCAAAAAAATTAAATTAAAATAAATATGAAGCATAACTCTTACTATAAACAAATCAATAAATACGAAATAACAGTACGTAACATATTAAAAAAAGACATATCTATGTAGAAAAGTTTCTTTTTTCAATTTAATATTATTTAAATAAAATATTATCTTTTCTTTTGAAAAAACTTGACAACGTTTTTCATTAACCAAATTTTCAAAATTTTGTTGAATTGGTCGAGCCAAGTTGTGTGTATAGGACGTAATTCTAAATTTTCAGGTATTCAATGGAAGTCGTGAAGTGGAAACGGAAGTTTGTGTAAGTTTTAAGGCATGACTAACTAGTTTGTTATGAATAATATAAAAAGAATCTGACTTTTATTATTTAGAGTATGATCTCAAGTCTGTAAAATGGGAATGTAGAAAAACGGTGGTCGAGAATCGCGCAAAGTGGTTTAAAGAAGACGTTCATTGACCAGGCTGTTCCCATTTAAACGTAGAAATTGTACAGGAATTTGCAAAATCACGAGAGAAATTGCATCTTTTGCAAGGCCCCGTAATCGGTCGCGAGGCGGCTAGTAATTACCGAACTTTCGAACCCCGTATTACACCTAAGGGTGTTATAAGATTGCTGGGTTCTCTGCTACCGGTGAACCAAAAGATGTTCTCCAATGAACGACACACATTTTTTTTTAAAACAGACACGAGCTTAACATAATTTAATATAACGGAAAACATTATTAAAGCTATAGAAGCTCTATGTACAATGTAATAAAAATAAATCCATCAAACCAAACCATGGACTGACAATAATTTATTTTTACTCAAATAAATAAAACGAGAGATAAATAAAAATGAAATGAAAATTTCTCACGATTGGAGGGAGGGGGGTTCGATTTCGTAGAGACAAATGAAAGTTAGCGACCCTTGGTGGTCCATCGACAAGCGTGGGGTCATTCGGTCGGCAAAGATGAAAGAGCAAAACGAGAGAAGGAACTGCTCGTAGATTTGTAAGTCGATCAGCCCCGATGTTGGTCGGTCGCCCTTCTCAAAACAAAAAGAGGAGGGCAAGCACAACGCGTTACCCTCCGGTAGGGAGAGGGTGAGAAACCCTATAAAGGCGCCGACTATTGAAACGCTTGTACCACTTGTCAAACTGCGGTTGCCTTTATAATTTGCCGGCTACCTTTAACGCGATTACCAATCATCTAAGTAATTATATGATTCATTGTAATATGTAGTATAAGTAACTAATTACATAAACAATTTAATGTACCAATTTATATATCAATTCGTGTATACATTTATATACTTTATATATATCTATAAAATTTAAGATACATTTATAATTCGTAAGTGCATGAACTGGAAACTGAACCTGGAATCTCCTGATGTATTCAACAAATAAATGGAAGTACGAATTATCCTAATGGCCCGCTGCTATGTAGAAATTTTCTTAAGAAGGATAAAATGAAAAGATAGAAGAGGCTTTATTGGATCGAGGCACGTTCACTGTCGGGTTTCGTGCACCCGATCTGACCGATACTGCCTATCATACGCGTTCGGAAACCTCCGAGACCTGCACGTGGGTATGTACCGGGCGGCGAGGAAATTACAGAGCCGACGTCGGCTCGTAGAGCTACCGGCCGACCGTTCGCGGCGGCCGAACGCGAACCGGTAATTTCGAAGATCGAGAAACGCGGCCCTGATTAATGCGAGACCATTTAATTTATTCATTCACCGTTTCGAGGATCCAGCGCCGGCAAACCTCTTGGTGGTCTGAACAGCTGATAGGGCGTGTCGATACCACCTCGAGGATCTATCCTTCCCGTCCGGCTAACTATAACCGAGCAACCGCTCTCCACACTCCGCAATCTTCCTATTCCGTTCGTTCGCGGCTATTACACCGCCGTTTTGCGCCACTTTTACAAGCTTCTTTTACTTTCTATTTTTGGAGCATCGCTGGAAAGGGAAACATCGTGCGCCTCTACTGATCAAGGAAGTCTAACGTTTTCCATGTCCATATCCACTCCATTTCTTGAGAAAACATGTAGATCAAATGTTTTTAAGAAAGCAAGGGAAATGATCAGTTTACTCTCATTGGAACAATCATTTACTTCAGCATTTACATTATCAAATCCTTAATTGTATCTTCACTTAAAAAATATGAATATTACTAGTAAATAAAATATCTAAGTAGAATATGCTACTCTATTAAAGTTGTTCAAGCCGTAAGTTAAAATGATGATATATGTTTCAAATTTTGCAAATAGATAGTTATTATTGTAGTAAGAATCACATGCAAAATTTGAAAGAAATTGAGAAACTCGTTTTGGACTTATACATGTAATGTATGTCCAATGTAAATGTAATGTATGACTCATACAACTTTAAACGCAAGATAGGCAGTAACAATTTTCAGGTAGGTTGACAACAAGCGATTCCCATCGGCTTCTTACGTCTTCATCGAAATGTCCTGCGACGGGCAGAACTCTTTTTCGCGCCGCCCCGCGGGATGATTAAAGAGTTCCCGCCGGAGGAAAGTTCCTGCGTACGAGCGCGAATTAACTGCGAACTGGCCGCTAAGCTCCACTTTTGATCCCGGCTCGTAATTTCCTGCTCGGTAATTTTCCCTCACGGTTTCACGTATTACCCGCGTCGCTGCAGGAAGCTGTTCGCCTTAATGGTCGCTTTTATCGCGCGGACACGTTCCTCTTTTTCATTTTTTTTCTTTTCCTTTTTTCCGTGCGTTACTGAAAACCGTGCGCCGGAGCGTGAAAATTTCCTAAACCCGATACGCGAGGCGATAAAGTTTTAACACGCGAGGCCTTGATGTGAGTAGATCGTGCGCTCCATTTCAAACGGCGAATCGAGCCACTGACCATTACGCGGTAATTAAGGATGTTGACGTAAAAACGTTCGCAGGCAAAATGTAACTCAAGTAATACGTAGCGTATTGTGTGTCAAGAGGCATACAGGAATGGTTTCCTTTCGTGCTGGCCGCGATTTACATCGTACGTGTTGCAAATTGTACAAATTGACCAAATAATGGATTGCATGATAAAAGATGGAATTCAAAGATATCGAGTCCTTAATAGATAATCTTTTGTGCTTGTTGAAATGTAAATAAAATAAAATATATTACAGGCAATTATTAAAATAAGACAATTGAACATGGCATAATGATTTATATAGTACTAGGTTGATAAAATTGAAATACCAATCTCCAGTAGGGAAATTTATGAAGAACACCAAATCCTGTAGGGAAATTTATGAAGAATTCGTAACTGTCAAACTGAAGAGGGATTTGTGAACTGAAGATGCTTGTGTAAAATCTCAAGGAAGGTTTCTGAGTACAACGGTACGAGTAATGCCAGCCATATTTGTGAGGAAAATTAGGGTAAAGTAAAAAGGGCCCGGCCGATTCAATTTCGCTCGCATAACGAGAAGCCCCGAGGACCAAATTATGACCCCGGTGTGGTTATTATAATCTAATTTTGCACGGTGGCGCTGTTACAGGAACGTGTTCGCAGCAAGGGTAACGCTAATTCACTGATTCAGCTGGCTCATCAATCTTGGTCAGGCCTCCTCTCGGCAAGAGACACCCGACCACTGCTCTCGATCAGATCGTCCAACAGTTTTTTGCCAATTGGAACGCAATTTTCCATCGCTCGACATTTTATCCACTAAAATATCCAAATAACTGCATTTTGACTTTTCCGGTCAAACTACAGCTTTGTGAAAAAACAATTACCAATTGATTGAAAATATTGTCCATCGCTAGCCGCAATTTTTGTCCGTTTTTCTGATAGTAGGTGGATTGCAAAGAACGAGGCGTTTTTGGTGGATATTCATGAGTAGACCTATTTTTTGGCACCCTCGGAGTAATTCTATATACATCATTGATTGAGATTGTTGGTAATCGGAAGAAGCAATATCTGGAGAGTGCAGTGGGTCTGGCAGGGCATAGCAGTTAAGCATTTCTGACGTTTCCTTGACGTTGACTTCACAAAATGAGATGGGGCTTTGTCGTGCTGGAAAATCGCTTTGTCGTGTCTGGGATCCTGTTTCCTTGCTTATTCCATCGTAAATCATTCCAATGGATTTTGAACATCTAAAAATGGTGAATCGATGATTCTCTACGTTCTCCTTCAGTTGGATTTGACTCTTCATAAAGTAAAGCTTCCACTTCCCTATATTCAATTTTTTCAACTGACATGAGCGTTCTTATTTTCCGTGTTGTAATCGTCATGTTCATAACGTTGAAACTTATACTTATATGTTCAAATCAATGGAGCATAATCACAGTAACTTTCGTTGACTTTCAGCAGCATTTTTCTCCAAACGGAAGCACAAAACCATAACTTATGGCAAATTGCATTGTGTTGAGGCACAGTTGAACATATTCAGTGTTCAAAGAAATAATGTCTTTTGCATTTGGGGAAAATAATAACACATATTGGGAAATAACACCACGTGACGATGCTTTGACACGGAGTGGGCAACAATATGAATCGGTGCCATATAAATATTACTGGTTACACCATTCCTTGAGAATCCCTTAAGGAGGTTCAGGGGTTTTATAAAAACGTAGAGATCAGCATGAAATTTAAGAATATGTTTCCTTATTGCATAACAAAACCAAAATAATTTTTTCGAATTTTTCGTCCACGTTTTATTGGAGAAAAACGGTTTTGAAGTTTGCTCATTTTACACGGTTTCTTATGGGATACAAATATTCTGACTGTTCAAAAT